TGCCTTACTGAGCCTAGAGCCCCCAAAATATTGAATCTTCTCATTTCATTCGTAAGATTAGGTTTGTATTTATGTCATTTTAAAATTCATCTCAAGTTTATACATTCTTTGATGATTTCGTCACTCTGTTTTGTTTACACAACCAAAATTGGAACATCCATATACTTCCTAAACATAATTTGGAGTTGTATGTATTTTAACAAATTAAAATATAAAGAGTGGTTTAATCTATCATTTAATTAAGTAAGTTAACACCAGTGGTTTCATTGGATGATTTGCATTTTCATTATCTAACCTCAAGGCCGGTCTTAAATATTTTTCTTCCAAAAGCATCTGTATTTTTGGTATTATAAAAAGCATATGGTTTTCTATTTGCTATTCATTTTTTCTATTAAACTATTTTAGTTGAAACGCAAAAAAGCAAGGTTTTATCTCTTTCGAGATTATTAGCTGATCAAGGTTTGAATGGAAGTATTGTTAAGGAAAGGGAGGAGAATGTGTGAAATCATTGAATCCACAGTAATTGGAACTAAGAGAATTTGTTTCAGCTTCCGTTAAGAGAAACTTTTGCATGGGTTGTTTTTAAAAATATTCTTAGTTTTTCCAGTGTACTTTAAAATTCATCTTTTTGAAATATTCTCAAAATATCTTAAACACAGTTATATTTGACTAACTTGTTGTTTTGTTTCAACATTTACTGTTAAGGATTATATTTAAGTACTTAAGTAGTTACATACTAATTAAATTTACAGTTAGTGTTATTCAAAATTCAAAAATGAATTATATTCAAAAATCGCACAAAAATTGGTGATGATAAACAGCGGTAACTGACCAGCTAAATTAATTAGAGCAAAGGACAATAAGGATTACCCATAAAACCAACAGCTGTGTTTAGATTTTTTGTTCAGCAACTTCCTTAATATTCAAAGATGCTTACCTAATCAAAATAAAAAAAATGTTAGCAATGGCAGATTAACTTGGCACTAAAAAGCCTAATACTTACAAATTGATGATCATGTGCATCTCTAAAACATTGTATCTATGATAAATATAACATATTACTTAGCTTGGGTTTATTGTGAACCCTATTTATTTCCAGATTTTGTACAAAAATACTCCTTTATATTTATCATACTTTTTGTGTGTAGATATATGAGATATTGGTGATAATTATGTATCCATACACCCACTATGGTGCATTATTTGGTTCAAAGAGAGGATTGAGTCTACTTCCACGAAAAAAACATCCAAAATATTCTTTGTGTTGTTTCAATATAGCCTCCAATCAACTCAAATCACACAGACACCAAAAGTGGGAGAAGAGAATGTATTTGGTGACATTGTAGATTCACTCATTTCAATCTATTGCAAATGTATTTTGTTTTTGGATTGTTAAAAATACATTATTGATCTAATTTTATAAATAAATGTTGACTTCTTCTTTGTATATTTTTTAAAGAGAAATGTGATTTATAGTATGAGATTTTAAATTAAGTATGATTGTTTTTTTACTTATGATTAAATAGACATTTGGGGAATAAACATTCAAATGTAGTTGTATATTAGAATGATAAATACATATGGAGTATATCAGTTGGTGTTTTACTGTTTTGATTAAAAAATGACAACAATATGAACCAATAAACTCTATACAAATTACCAAACTTTTTGTGGATGAATCTAACAAATACATCTAAATAAGGCTAATACTAAGAGAATTAGATAAGAATGTAAAATACTGAATTGAAATCTTGATAAAAATAATAATATATTACTTATTCAGAATTCACATTCGAAATAAAAAAAGAATTAAATTAGTTGGCTCCGGACTGATTTTAAGATATTAGGTATCAAATCTAACACCACTTTCACGAAATACGGGCATGCACTTACCGATCTGGAGATTTGAAGTGAAACATTTCGATGACCTGCGTAGTTATTCAGTTTTTGATGTTGCCCATTCTTTTTTATGCAATAGCTTTGTTCAATTGTTGAATAGAATGGTTGCGGCACCGTGATGTAAGGCAGTGGAGATTGTCTACCGATGAGGTGTGATTGTGTGGGAGTGGCGAATTTCGATCTTGGCCGGTTAGTCGACCGCGGTGTTCGGAAATTGAGGTGAGGAGGATTGTGGTTGTCACTTAGTCTGAGACGAATGATTTTACTAAGCTCCCCTAGCTGATTGAGATACAACCGTATAGTACATACTACATAGTATTGGTCTGATGGAGTTGGGTTGGGTTTAATCATTAGTGTTGGCATGGGCTGGGATTAGTTATCAGCTGTTCAAAATGGCTGGATCAAAGGTAGTAAAAATTGAATAAATAAATCCCATTCCACTATGTAGCAGTTTAAATATATTTAAAATAAATTACTGAAAAATATAGGTCCCCGAGTATTCTTTCATTGACATTTTTATACTTAACTTTTAATTTTTCCAACTTTACTCTTTGACTATTGTGCTATGGACACTTTTAATTCTCGATTTTAATGTTTCTCACAATTAGTCCCCTGAGTATTATCAATATAAGAGTGAAGGACCCATAAAGTGAAGGACTAGAAATGTTATTATTATAATAATTGGAGTGTCAAAAGTGTCACTTTTATGAAAGTCGGAGGATTAAATATGGAAATTTTCAAAGACGAGTACCAAAAGTGTCTCTAGCGCAATAGTTGAGCACTAAAAGTAGAAAAATCAAAGTCGAGTTTCAAAAGTGTCAATGACATAAAACTCTGTAAAAAATTGTTATATGTTATTTAGAGTACCTACTATATGACTGCACTTAAAGAGTCATTTTTTGTAAAATCTTTTACGGGGTATTTAATTAAAAAACATGTAGTTATTTCTGTGTCCAAAATAGGGCTGACAACTGCTAAGTTTTTGCAGCATCAGACTTTAAACACGGTGGTATTTTCTAATCTTGGTAGTGATTACTTCTATTTTGAAAATATAACATGACAACTTATTTTAGATTTTTTCAAACTTTTTTACTTCTATTTTTAGCATTACCCCAATTCAAATTTGTTGAAATACTAGCGCTTCACATTAGACCCAATATAAAATGAATGACGACTTTGGATCCACATTAGACCAAATTTTATTAGACCCAATATCCCAAGTACATTGGTGAAAACTAATTAAGGGTCTATTTGGTAACACGAAAATCGGTTGATTCGGCTGATTCTGCTGATTTAAGGGAAAAAATAGTTTTAAAATATATTTTATTAATAAAATAAAATAAAATGTAAAAATAGCTAAAATGGTCATCTACAGTAACTTCAACCAATACAGCCAGATAAGTAACTCCAACCTTACTTTTTCTTATTATTACACAATTCAACGCGTGAAAACAAAAGTCACGTGTTTGGTGAAAAGGTTGGTTGATGAGCCTGATAAGCCGAAAAACAGTGTTACCAAACGTCCTCTAAATAAATTACTAAACCTAAATAATGTACCTTGTCTATGGTACACGCTGCTAGCATTATAAGGCTGCTAGAGGATAGATGGCTTCATTCCAAAATATAAGAATTCAACTTTTTTTTGTTAAACATGATTCAAGTATTCAATATTGTTTGGATAAAAACATGATTCAACTCTTCAACATTTACAAGCAATGGTCGGGTTTGAAGAATTAATTTAACCATGGATTTTGTTTCAGCGTCGTCTCTAGGATTTGTTATTGGTGTAAAACTCATCTAACTGAAGAGATGGATGTTTTGATGGAGTACAGGTACATAAGTCAATGTGAAAAGTAGAGTACAAACTTTTAGAACTCGTTTGGTAGCACGAAAATCGGCTGGTTTGGCTAATTCTGCTGAAATTTCTGAAGTTCTGGCTGAAGTGACTACATTGGCTGATTATGCAGATTTAAGAAAAAATTATTTTAAAATATATTTTATTAATAAAATAAAGAAAAAATTATATGTTAAAATAGCTAAAATGGTCATCTACAGTAACTTCAGCAAATACAGTCAGAAAAGTAACTTCAACCTTACTTTGTATGTTTATTACACAATTCAGCGCGCTAAAACAAAAATTATGTGTTTCGTGAAAAAGTTGGTTGATAAGCCTGATAAGCCGAAAAAAAATGTTATCAAACAGCACCTTAACATCAATGTACAATCTCTTATACCTACAATGTATTGACATAAATGAGGGGTACAAACTTTTGTTCACCAATTTAATGTTTTTAGATATGACTTATTCTGATTTAGTGACTTAAATATTACCTCCGTCCCATTTTATATGTTTAGTTTTGGCACAATTTTTAATAAAGTAGTTGAAAAGGTAAAAATTGTGGTTGAGATTTGAGTATAGTAAAGTGAAATGTTGTGAACCACATATTTCTATCCTAAAGGGAAAGATGACACTTATTTTGGGACAACCCAAAAAAGAAAGTAACACAGGTAAAATGGGACGGGGGGAGTAATAAGTTTATTGACATCTATAAAAATATGGAGCATATAACATCTTATATTTAGCAAAAAAAATCTTGTGATTGAGAGAATTCATAACAAGTGCATTAAAAGTTACAAAATTATTAGTAGTAAGATGTGATTTTTTAAGGAAAATCGCACTTTCGATCCCTCATATTGAAATGTCAAACTCGTGTTTCTAAGATTGTAAATATCACCCTTGAATTGACAAATGTGTTGTAAATGTCATCCCAGTGAATTTATTGGTAGTCCAGATTTGAAGATGGATTATAAACAGTGGGGATGCCATTTAATTTACAACAAATCTGTCGATTTAGGGGTGAGATTTCAAAAACATGGGTCTAACATTTCAATATGGTGACTAATTGATGGAACAAAAGTGGGATTTTCTCTATATTTTATTTTATTGTTGATACCATTTTTTGAAATATAATTTAGTTCTGAATGACTGAATGTCAATTCAAGATTTGAAGATCAACCAAGCACTTCTATCGAATTTCAGATTACCGAGTGCTCCAAGGTTTAACAAATCAAACTATTAAGGGAAAACTATCAAATTAGCCCCTCAACTTTTTAAAAAAATCAATTAAACCCTCATATCGAAAGTTCACTCAATTAAACCCTCCAACCCATTATAAAATGTCAAATTCGCTTTTTAACAGGTATCATTTCCATTCCCTGTTGAATTGCATATGTGGCGTGTGAGGTGGCATTTTTTCATTTACTTTTTCTTTTTCTTTCCTCTTCTCTTTCTTATTCCCTACCTTCTTTCTTGCGCTACTCCCTGCAGCTTCTCCCTGCTTTCTTTCTTCTTTCTTTCCCCATTCTCTTCTTCCCCCTATTTCTCTGTTAGTCGTTCCCTAGGCTCAATTCGCCCTCCTCCCTGCGCCTCTTCTCTGCCGCCGATTATAAGATGGCCAAATTGAATCTACGGATCTAGAATCGATCTGGAGGTTTCATGGAGCGTTGACGCCGACGCCAACTTGTGTTGCTAACCCAGAAGCTTCAACGTAGAACTAGGTGCGATGGACTCGCGGAAAGAGATGACCGGCTTGTGAGGGGTACTTGAGCATTTCCGACGATCTAGGTTTCTTTCCGACTCCGTCATCGGCCAAAGACTGATTGGTGTCCCAAGAAAGAAGAAAGGGGAAGAAGAAAGGGTGGGTGGGGGATTGGAAGAAAGGGTGGAACGCAGTGTGAAGGAGAAAGAAGGTGGAGGAAAGGGGAAAAAGAAAAGAGAAAGGGTAAAGAAAAAAATGGAAAACAAATTGAAAAATCCACGTGTCGCCATGTGTACAAAGCATCCCGGCAACTTATTCATTACCGGCTAAAAAGAGAATTTGACAATTTTTAATGGGTTTGAGAGTATAATTGATTGAATTTTCAGTAGGGGGGCTTAATTGATTTTTTTGAAGAGTTAAGAGGTTAATTTGATAGTTTCCCAACTATTAATGATGTGCCATCACATATCATGCATCCGTCGAGTGTTGTTCTTTCCCATACTGGCTTATTAAACACCTACAGAGTATGATATATAGATGATGTTAATGTTGACAAGGAATACGTAGACCCTGAAGATCTGAAACTTGTGAAAAGAACTTTGTATGGGTTTGTTTTTGTGAAAACGGTCACAGTCATTTTTATTATTGGAATTCATCACTTAAGTCACAAAAAATAAAAAATAAAAATTGGCTGGATTCCTTATTTGACGGGGATTGTAGTTCAATTGGTCAATTACATCGTAATAATTTAACAACCGAATAGTTATCATTGTCGTTAATTACTACGTACTTGTATTGAAAAGAATTTTTAGAGAAAAGGGAGGAAGAAACAAAATCGAGGTGAAGAATGTAGAGGAGACAATCCAACATCGGGTGTTTGAGGGATTTGTGTGATTAAAGGTAAAAGGAGCCATGTGGTAAGGAATAGGATAGAATACAGAGGCAACAAAGCTATCCAAGCAGTGATTTCTTTTTTCTTTTTGGCAATCCCAAAGCAAAATTTGCTGTGATCATCAATCAATGGCTTAATGTGGCCTGGACAGCTTTTGTTCCCTCCTTTGGAAGTTAGTTAATTAATTTAAGAGAAATCAAAATCTGCACCCACGCTTTCAGTAAAACTGCGTGTTTAATGTTTATACTTCGCTTCTAAGAATATAATACGGAGTAAATTAATAGTAGTATGTCCATTCCTATCTTTTTGAAAGATTGATGTTTAAACTTCATTCTACATACTAATTTTTGAACTAACGTTTGCATGTATTATTTTTTTGGAAAAATAGAGGGTAGAGTCTGATATCACCTAATATTACTATCTTTGTCTCGTGACATGATTATTAAGAAAAGTGAGCTTATATGGTTGTTATTGAACTGTTAAAGTAAGAATAAAATGATGATTTTTTAGAACCATGGGAATTTTACCAAATTAGGCACGACACAATCTTATTGGGACGGATCGAAAAGGAAAGATAAACAATCTTAGTGGGACGGAGAGAGTAGATGCAACGCCGTTTTCCTACTTAATTAATTTAATTAACTGTTTTGATAATAAGACCAAATGTTCATTTGTTGTAGTCATACTACATGCAACAAAAATTTAACTACATACATCCAATCTAAATTTGCCAATTTTTCTTAATTGTTTTGCCAAAAAATTGTCAGTTTCAATAATTTAACAAAAAAAACGTTTATTCACATATGACAACTCAACTTATATAACAAAACATAGCAGGATTTTAAATATTTTAATACTCGTTTGAACTTTTTAGTTACGGAATAGTTCAATTTAACATTTTTTTATCATAAAAAATATCACATTTCAAATTAACAAAACTTAATAAGTTGCCATTGAATTTCACCAAACTGGGCTAGGTTGGATCGGGGAAAACGACCCTACTTGTTTTTGAAAACAAGAAGAACAGAAGAGTTGCATAAATGGAATAGATTACACTAAAGTTGATTCGTGTGTTTTATTTTGTTTTCCATGCAATAATGGATTTCAATTGAGCTAGCTAGCTAGGGCTTAATGCTACCTTCAACCTAGTAGTCTGCTATGAGTGGTGTCCACCACTCCCCCAATATACTTTTTGTAGAAAAATTGAAAATAATAGTGTTATCTACTCATAATAATCTGGACTATCTATTACTCCGTAGAAGATTCTAATTATTAGGATATCTTCTTACCTACTACAACCTGATATATAAGGTCGCACTAATTTAAGCAGTGTTTGCGTTTGCTTTAAAAAAGTGTTTTTCAGCTTTTGGCTTAAAAAAAGCTAAAAAGAGTGTTTTCAAATGACAGCTTCTGCTTAAATTAATCACTTAAAAGCTAAAAGCTGGAAGCAGGTGGAAGGGTGCTTTAAACTGCTTTTCACTTTTTCTATTACACAAAAAGTACTTATTTTACCAAACATTACCAACTTTTACTTTTTCAGAATCACTTTTTTCTCAAACACTACCAACTTTTACTATTAATCACTTTTCCCAAAATCACTTTAAAAAATCATTTTTTTAAAGTTGAAGCAATTGCAAACACTCCCTTAATCTCAAATGTCTGGGTGGGAGATTCCATTTTTTCGGTCTTTGACTTAGATATGACCGATAGTTCCGATATTACAATCAATCTACAATAATTCAGATTATTATTTTGAATTGTCCTTCTCATTTACATAGCCAAAACCTTGAAATCCTATGTCCCAAATCACTAGAAATTTATTTTTAAATTTCCTGCTATATATGATTCCAATAGTTATTTTTATTTTACAGTTTTAAAATTAAAAAAGTTTTAACAAGGGGTATTTTTGTCTAAACGTGTTGAATTAAGTCCTATGAAACGTGTGTTTAGTTGGTACTCCTAAATGTGCAATTAAGTTTCATATTACTCATGTTTGAGTAATTAACTCTTTTCTCTTTACCTAAACCCCGCCGCAATAATTTACCAATCGTATGTTTGCACCCAAGGCAAACCAAATTGATTTCCTAACAGCCGGTGGCAAAAGATTTTGGGCCTGTTGGCAATCGATGATTAGCGGTTAGCTGTTAGCGGATTGAGTCAGTGGGTTTAAACAGCGGATTGAATCAGCGGGTTTGACCGGCGGATCAGTTTGGCGGATTACAAAAAGATGTTAGGTAACTTAGTTGTTTGCTTTTAACGGATAATAGATAAAAAGACAAAAAAGGACATTAGCACATTTTAATTCTGAAAACAAGAAAACATATCTAAATCATACACGCAGTACATAATTTTAATTTCATTGAAAAAGAAACAAAAAAACAGGGTATAAAATAAAAACCAAAAGCATAAGCAACCACAACTATAGGCAAGGACTCAAAAATCATCCTTCTTTCACTATTCCGTATATGCTCTTTGTTTTGAATTGCTTTTAAAAAGTATGCAGTATACGTTTTTGCAGTATACGTTTTTGCAGTACAAAAAAGACATACCTGGTGATTCTTTTCTTCTGAGAGGCGAAGAAGGCCTTGCAAGAGCGAAAGGTATGCGGAGGGAGCAACTGGCGACTTTTGCTTGGGAGAAGGAAGGGGTATGGTTGAGAATCGATAACTTATTCCTAATTGCTAATCCTAAACGCTCCACTTTCCAGCGTTTTAATTTTCAGCGGTTTGGGCCAAAACGTCAAAGTAATCCGCCATCTCCCAAACACCTTTTTTCAGTGGTTTGACCAATTAAAAACGCCATTTTTGATCAAATCCGCCAAAATTTGGCTGAAACACCATTTACCAAACATGGTATTTGTGCCTGGGCAAACCTGTCCACCCCAGTTCACATGATTAACAAGAGTGGTTCACAATGCATTTTCAATTCGGTTTTTCTTTATTTCTCATCATTAGTAAGAAAAAAGATGATGCCCCATGTTTAGGGATGGACTCGGGCCGGGACAACCGGCCCGGAACCGGACCGGTCCGCTACTGTGCGGGCCCGGACCGGCCCGGTGAACCGGTTCGGTTCCGGTTCGGGCCTCCCGGCCCGGTGGTATACCGGTCCGGGCCCGGCCCTCCAGTTTAGTGAACCGGCCCGGCCCGGCCGGGCCCGGTTCGGGCCGGAATTTAATTTTTTTTTTTTTTTTTTTTTTGAAATTTTTTTAAGTTTTGGGTTGGATTAGGTATTTTGGGCCATTTGAGGTGGTTTGTGATGGTTTGCGGTGGAGGAGAGGGGTAGGGGGTTAAATAAGAGAAGAAGAAGAAGAAGAAGAAAAAAAACATTCCGGGTGGCCCGGCCCGGTTCTGGCCCGGAACCGCCCACCACCGGTTCGGGCTCGGGCCTCCTTTTACTGAACCGAGGCCCGGCCGAGCCCAGGCCCGAACCGGGCCCGAACCGGAACCGGTCCACCCCTACCCATGTTGAGGTCTTCTAGCACTGACCGAACATTAATTGGAAGAATATGAATTGGATTATAAATATGTTTAGTTATGATTCTCCTTTCTTCTCCATGGACGAACCCTAAGAGCCTAGTGGTGGCCTTGCTTCTCCTTTCTCTTCCGACTAATTACCATCGAAGAGAAGGAATCGATTAATGATGCCGGTCAGATGGTGATGGATGGTGATACCAGTGTTGAAAGCGACGGCGAGGGCGGTTGCAGGCAGCGATTGTGACGGCGGTGATGGAGGCAGCATTGGCAGTGATGGCGGCAGGAAACGCCGGTGTCGGGGGTGATAGCAGGCATGGTCGGTGACGGCAGCAGCAGGTGGCGTGGGTGGCTGAACTGTTACAGTTAAAATTTTAGGGTTTTGTGTTATTTTAATTTTACATTTTTAGTAATAAATTCAAATAAAAATTGATTTGTGGCATTTGTGTACAAACAGTTGGTTTTAAGTCCTACGAAACATGGATATGAATTATGGTCATATTTGTGCACATAAGTTATCTTTTAGTCCTATATAGGGCATTAACTCCTTTGCTAATTGTGTTCGGATCCCTGAAGGTATTCATACGGCATATAGGGCATCTATTCGATATGTGATAATTAGGTGAGTCCTTCATATTTCTTTGTGGGCAAGATATTTTCTTCTGATTTCCTTCCCGGTATATCTGGCGTTTTTGTTCCCTTCGATTGTAAAGTGTTTATGTCCCCGCCAGCTTTGGCCAGTCGGGTGCGGTGACTGCTCTGATGGGTTCTGTGAGTCGGAACTACCGCATGTTAGGAAATCTAGCCACGATCAAGTGCTTGAGGTCACTATGGAGGATGATGGAGCAGAACCAAAACAATGGCTTTGTAGCGATGCTACTGGATCATCACCGTCCGGAATTCAATTATATCTTGTGAGCAAGGTGTTTTCTTTGGAGGTGGCTGGGCAAACCTCTTCTTCCTTCTCAATGGCTAGTCAAATTAGATTAGTCCCTTTTGAGGTGGATGGACAAACTTCCTCTCCCTTTCTGATATTAAATTTTAGAAACAAGAACTTAAATTTTAGACAAAGCAATCTTAAATTTTAGTAGCACATGCTAATAGATTAGCCTATAGGATTGCAGGGTTAGCGAACTTAACCGATTCTCAGGGGCTAGTCAAATTCATGTCTCATCGGAGTCATCGCAAGGTAGCTCTGAGCTACTGGATTGCTTTGTCTCTTGTCATTTCCATTATTAATATTAATTGCCTTTCTTCCAAAAAAACATCAATCACATAACACTACTTTTCCTAACAATTGCACTATCCATCTTGTATCAATCCTAAAGGGAAGAGATAGTAATAATAGTCAATACTACTATCAACATACTACATTTATATCACCATATTTTGTGATTCAATATTATGCAGAGGAGAGAGATAATATAACCACAATTTGCTTGATTAAAATAAAAAATATACATACTTTTAGACAATCAAAAACGGAACAATGACAAAGATATGGATTATGGAGGATAGAGGAAACATTAAACTCATCTATGCAAGTGTATATTTTTAGGGAGAATTCATGTAAATAATCCGAACTATTAGCGGTCTTCCAATATTAATCCCAAATATTGATAATTCCATTATAATCTAAACTATCATGGGTATCTTCTCAAAACAACCCGGTGACCTGCATCAACCTAATAAGCAGGTCACTCTGACACGTGTCATATTGTTATTTGTTTCAATGTGTTTTTTTTGTTTCTATCTTTTATCCTTTATTTTCTTGTCGGTCCCTTGTGTCATCCTGCTAAGCCAACTGACCAGAAAAGAAACGGCCTCAAGCTCTCAACGGTAACAGGAATTGATTGGCCAAAGCACTAGCAATACCATCCCTTCCGGCTTCCAACTCCTGATTCCAGACTTCCAGTTGCTCATTTCCAGTTCCAAAACCAGAACCATGTTCACCTCTACCCGTATGTAATTAGAGTCCAAAACAAACAAAATACAGAGGTTCTAACACAGGGTTCACTCGTAATTGAAACAAAATCCAAACATAATAGTCCACATTCCACAATAATCTACTCCGTATTTAGTATGATTTGTTTTGTGCACTTTTATAAACTTTAACACATCAGCACCAACCAACCCTGTGGGCAACTTGTGATAATCTCCCGTCCAACCTTAATTAGTTAATTCAAATGAGTACCGAACCGCTAGCTTCAACCAAGTTCTTCCTAAGCCTTACTCAATCACGTAACACTGTAACAGCTAACAGGTGTGAACACTGTCAGTTCCAAACCACGAACGCCGATTTTTTGGGCCAAAACCAAATACGCAATGACTTTTGCAAACGTCAAGTAATTGTTAGTCTTCACCAGCCAGATTTATGGAGAAAAAACGACAACACAAAATAATGTTGTGAAGGAGACATTTTTTCTACTTTATAAGGGTTATTAACTTATTATGTCTTTAACGGTGCCTTCTTTTCTCGGTCAGATATACGGGCAGGAGCAGTTGAATGAGATTTGAAACGACCTCTACCTTCTCCTTCTCTCTCCTGCAGTACCCGTGAACGATTTGCAGATGAAAACAGTTGAGTAAAAAACAAGCATTGCGTAATTAATGGAAAATAAAATTGACAAAAAGCGGATTTGATGACGGGGAGATGTGTGAAGGCAGTACCTTCTTCTTAACAATCTGTACGACATCCTCGTCCTGAAGAACATGACTTAGGCCACAGTGCTGAGGGTAGTGTCTTGCGCTGATTCCCCATACCAACACATACTTCACATCCTTCACAAGACTCCGATGTATATGGTTACAAAAGTCTTCAACTGTGCAGCCACCTCTATCCTAGAATAGTAGATCATTCATAAGGTCAGCGAAAAGAAAATCTAATTGTACAAAATAGTAATGTTGATGCTAAGAGCCCTCTTGGTGACAGCTGAACTGACTAAATAGCCTGAATTAAGTGTGCTGATATTTTATGGTGAACATATAATTGATTGGTGTCCAATTACCTCAAAGGATACGAAGTAGTTTTTTATGGGGCAACACAAAGGTGGACAGAATTGCCATTCCACTGTAAAAATTAGAATCCGCCCAAGGAGATGTCAATTTTTGGGCTGAAAAGCTGAATCAGCCAAATGTGGGGGTATGTGGTGTTTTGCAATCATTTAAGACTAAACGATTTTGACATGCCAAATAGGCTCTTAAACATGTAATAAATGCTCAATGATAAATTAGAAGAGCGAATATAAAAAAGGTAGTTGTCCTTGAGGTTTAGTATAAACTCTTACAAGACCCATCTCTTCCCATATAAAAAAGCTGATAAACATAACTTACACTTGAAAGAACTACAGGATCGGTGAAATCGGGTTGCTGGCCTTGAGGTTTAGTATAAACTCTTACAAGACCCATCTCTTCCCACATTCTTGCAAGTAGTCTGTCCAAGTTTAGCTGTATTCGGCATAACCAATCACATTGTTAGGCGATGTTCTGAACTAGCCAAATAATAGGAATTTGATACTAAGAAAAATAGTTTTTACGTTTTTACCTAGGAAAACGAAAAGGAAATCAAATTTAGTTAGAATCTTTTAACATTTTACATATATTTAGATTTCTTATTTTACCCCACAATTTTTTTCCTTCCAAAATTTCCTATTGTCCTTTTATTTTCCCTAGCATTGTATGGGTTCTAAACAGACCTTTCATTTCTAACAGCAGCCAAATATTAATTATAGAGTAGCGACTGAGATTCATATACATTGTGAGAGGAGTCATTCCTACATGTTGGTTTTCACATCAAAGGAACAAGAGATTGGCAATAATTGGGTCAGAAGAGATGTATTTCCGACTTCGGGGAGCAGTAAAATTGCAACTTCATTGCAAAGAATCTTAGCAGATATGTAGTATTACAGTCAACTCAATGATCTTGAATTTTTATTTCACAATAGATCCATCAACCGTCATACATAGAAAAGCTTTTAACTACACATATAGCTTGGTAGCCACAAAACTAGACGGGCTAGTTTGGAAATTCATACCTTCAAGTTGCAGCTAATGACGATAGAATTCGGCTGGCGGGACAATCTGTCCACGTCATCAATACCGACAACATCAATCTTATTGTAGACGTAAACACACTTCATGTATTTACGGTTCCCCTCAATAACATCAATAAGGTCATCCACTGTGGCATCTTCACGAAATAAGAGCTGACAAAGACAACAAAACAGATGGTCACGAATTAGGAGAAGGAAAACTAAGTTTCTGAAGTCTATCCTGATGTTACTCAGGGGTTAAACCTGGCTGCACAGACTTGCAAGTTGCAACACCTCACTCAAACACATGCAAGAGATTATAAATATCACAACTCAATTTTTACACTAAACTCAAATTGAAAAGGCCTCATGCATTGTTGACTACACTCAGAGATTAAATATCACTACCTCAGCATTGTGAATCTTGTATTCATGTAGAATTTGATAGCAGAGCTTCTCATCCACATGAGTTAAAGTTAGTGTGCTGTTGAATGAGATCCCGCCTGTTTTTTTCTTTTTGAAGTATATCTGTCAACATCAAACTTAACATAAGAACTCATTTGACAATGGGATTTTGGTAAAATTGCGCATAGAAGCATTCCTGGAACTGCAGAACTAGGCGAGAAGTGTTTCCAATATATATATATATATATATATATATATATATATATGAGTATAAAACTAAAAATAAAGTTCATCCAAAAATATTACTAGTACTGAACACTTGGGAAAAATATGACATGGTCACAATAGTCAGTTAGTCACTACTTAACGAAACTACCAACGTGGGCCACGTGGCTGCAGACTAATTTTATCACTGTGGTTATTAGTCATTGCAAAAGTATCACTATGGTCATCAATTATTAAGTCACATTTTTTGTCCTCTGTTTTCATTTTACCAAATATTTGTCATTATTTAAAAAAACAAAAAGACAACCGGGGTGCTAGTTATTATACTGTTATACAATTCACTGATTCAGCACAAGCAGTCAAATAGATTAATGCAAGATTAAATGTCTGATAAGCTGAGAAAATGGCTATCTAGCAACCATAAAATTCATAATTTCTCATCCCCAACACAGCAGATGCACAAACATCAACATAAGATCCAATCTTGCTTGGAGATATATATGTGCACGTTGTTTATATGCTAGGTAAGACACTGCTTATAATGAGGCCCTCCTTAAAGTTCGTCAATGGTTCTTTAGATAAAGGCATCATTCTTTCGTATGATGCATTTTTATCATTGTTTACCCTCATACGCCATTTACAAGGAACATTTATTGAGGGTTGAATAAGAATATCATAGTTCTTAAAAGAGTTCATGAAAATCAACTACTTTCCTGGGTTATGTAATCTTGTCAATTGTGACTTGTAGAACAGTCCAGGGAAGGTATTACACGATGGGATAGAATAAAAGAGTATGGGTACAGATAAGCTTTAATACAATCTCAAAGGCTCCTAGAAGAAAGAGTCCACAAAAATATTCATCCTAGATAAATCCAGAGAAAAGTGTGGACAAATTATGATGTCACGAGAGAAGAGGAAACTTGCCTGAGGTGGTCTCTTATTTAAACGCAGACCCACAGCTTCCAACTCCTTTGTTAAGATTTGTCGATGCCCTTCACTCTAAAGTTTTGTTTGGTTGGTGAAGAAAGTACAGAAAATATAAGGCTATAAATTTGACACAACAGTGAGTAGTACTTACTTTTGATGCATCCAGAACCATCAACACTAGATCAGATGATTTTGATACAGCAATGACCTTCACCAAAGTCAAGATTCACTCAGATTTTGATCAATGCCACAGGGCCAACTAAAACAATGTGATTTAAGCTATAAAAGTCTCTGAAACGTCTCTCGGTTAATGTTTGAATATTTTCCATGTGGGGTGGACGGAAAATATATTTTACTTTCTTCAAGTATTTTCTCCTCTTGTTTACATTGACAAACAATAAGAAGGGAGTGTAAATAATAAGTAAAATAAGCAATTTCAAATTTGCTCTCTCTCCAGATTGGAGAGAATGGAATGGAGGAAAATCAAAACTATTTCAATCTGTAAGAAACATGAACATGGTTACCTGTCTACCACGTCCCTTCCCTTCAGATGCGCCTTCAATGATCCCAGGAAGATCGAGCAATTGGATTTTAGTATCATTGTAGTGTATAATACCTGGGATGCAAGTAAGAGTAGTGAACTCATACGACGCAGCCTCAGAATGTGTTCCTGTCAGCATTGTCAACAGGGTTGACTTTCCCACACTGTCAAAGGGTATAAATTTAGTATAGGAAAAGGTACACTGATAAAAGAATTCAATATCTAAAATTGATATAAACATCCCTTAGAAGGGTAAAGTGGTAAACACGTCAAAATTATGTGAAATTGAGTTCCCAAACAATGATGTCTCAAAATCTGGTTCAGGAAAACTGTAAACCACAAGTAAATCCCCTTACACAAAGTATATCACCCATCCAGAGGCGTAAACATTGATCCATACGATTAACTAAACTGATTATTGCAAACTTACATGGCCGGTTAGGAACAAAATCACAAAATATCATTTGATAAATCTACTATTACAATAAAGTGTATGAATTACACTTTTCTTTAGGCTTCTTATCAAACACTTGGAGTAGCACAAGGTGGGCATGAGAAAATAAAATACCAAACCTTGGAAATCCTATTAGTGCAACACGTCCATGGCCAAATTTTGTGACTTCAAAACCCTCTCCAGCTCCACTAGAACCCTGTTCATCAATAGAAACGATGACAACATAAAGAGACTAGCAGACTAAAATAAAATGAAACTTAAAAATTGTTACTTTAGTCCCTCAATTGTTATACTTTCTGCATTACGTAATATAATTCCTCACTATTAATTTTGTGAAATCTAGTCCTTCAATTGATTGCCCATAAAGCAATGTAGTCCCTCAAATGGAAGAGAGACGTGACTCTATTCTAGTTTAGGATTATTATTGGGAGTGTTTTATAATTTATAGTTTCCCTTCTCCTCCTTAAATGTGAGGGGTATGTTTGGATCCTGGACTAGGGATAGGAACACAAATGCTAATGAGAGATGCTTTTTTGTGTTTGACTTCACATAGGAATATGAAATGCAATTATTCTTTTTACTCTTTTTACATATAAAACTATTCTTTAGTGCTTATATACTTGAAATAAATAAATCAAATGTGCTTGACCAAGTATCTAAGGATGTTTTCTTTTGGATTGTAATTTGATGGCCTGATGTGGTCTATTTAAGACTTTAAGTCTGGTCTGATAAATGGTCTCTGTGTATTTTATAACTGTCTAAGTCTGATCTGATCTCGTCTGTTTAAAGTCTGGTCTCGTCAGTTTAAATCTAGTATGATCTAGTCTAGTCTAGGACTGAAAATAGTTCAAAAAAACATCCTAAATCTAATATCTAAAATAAATATATTAGGTCCGAATGCATCTTTTATCTTTTCATTAATTTTCTTTCCTTCAAACTAACTCCCTAATTTCATCCATTTTTCCTTCCCTAGTTTTTCCGAGTTCCAAAGACTGCAAGGAAAACAGAGAAGTATTTGAAATCCAACTTAAAAAATAGATTCACTAATCAGAAAATAGATGCCACATTTAGCTATTGCAGAATGAAAAACAATTACAGGACCAATATGACACTTTGCCCAAACATAAAAAAATGAGCATCTTGGCACAACTGGCTCCGAAAATAACTATGCTAACACAAATAAATGACTGATTTGATGTTTCTAATATCAGTGCATATTCAGATCAACAATGAAATTATTCAGCCATTCACATACTTTTGGAGGCTCCAACAACTGTGTCCTTAGCTTTGCTATCTTGGCTTTCAGCTGACCCAAATGATATTCTGCACCCAAAGTACACATAACTTATTTTCTAAAAAAAATGGATCATTTGATGTAGCAGGCTGGAAAGTCTAGATTTAAATGTAAAATAATAAAAAACATAAAAACACCTGTGGCTTTATTCTTTTGGGTCCGTGCCATCTCAGCTTCAATTTCTTTAATCCTCTCTATGATACCCATTGTTCCTTATTTCAACCACCACAATCAAGAGAAAGCTAGTTCTGTGATAACGTACGATTGGAGTTAGCAAACCAACCATTAAATCAATCTTCATGTTTTGTTGGGGCGTGCACAACAAAATACAGCATTTGGTTGAAGAAAATTATGTTTTGAAATCCCAGCAGAGCATCCATATATGCTTGTGCGGAACCCCAAAATTATCCACATAAATTCAATTATAAAAAATTACAGGAAAAGCAAACCCCTCAAGCTAACCAATTCGAAAAGATACGTAAATCCACTCAACTCAATCTCACCTACACACACACCACCACTAGAACCAATCAACAAAGCCAACAATTTGACCCCAAAACAGTAAAGCACTCCACATAAAAAAGTAATTAAAGCCGGGAAGGAGGAATTCAACTTACTCTAACGGGGAATTTCAAGCCTGTGCAAAAGTAATGATCTGACCCCCGTTTCTTTAGGCCGGAAGATTCAAGCTGGCTGGATTTTGTGTGAGAGAACAAAAGGGAGAATGACTCCTAAAGGGTTTTTATTTGGATGTCTTAACAAATGTATTTTTGTAATATTTTAATTCAATGAATGTCTGGAAAACATAATCAAGGATCAATGTGTAGAAAACATTGACAAGAGAAGTATTTTCTTAAATAGTTAAAATTAAAAGATAATACTAAAACTAGCTGAATCGGTTAATACAGTTAAAATTTGGAGAGAAATATCGAAATAGGACTAAAAACGTTTTAGAATTTCAAAATGGGTTATCATATTTTTACTCTTTAAATAACAACTGTCAAGTTTGAAAAATACTACCATATTTAAAGTTTGATATATCATATAATTTAATGAATAAAAACACGATAGTCCTATTTAATATGAAGTAATAGACAAGCATATTCACTCCTAATTGAAAAAATTTATTTATAAAATTCAGCCTGAAGTGCCTGGATTGACTGATTCAGTTCAATTGTAAAAAAAATGATTAATAAAATAAAGAAAGGAATTACATAGAAATATAGCTAAATTATCTTCTACACTAAATTTAATCAATCTTGACAAGTAACTTCAAACTCACGTTTTTTGATTATTATACAATTCAATACTGTAATTAAAATTTATGTGTTTGGTGAAAAAATTATTAATAAGACGCAAAATAAAGTTACCAAACGAGATCTAAATTGAGTCACAAATATTATACTTTCGGGCTACTTATAATCAATTGGATCCCGTTCAAATAATGATAAAAATACCCATCCAATAAACATGTACTAGAATATGTGGCTTTGAATCAATTTTCGAATAGACTCAAACATATCGGATGATGCTAGAATATTGTAGTTGAAGTGAAATCTTCACCAAAATTTAGTGATATTTTTATTTGAAATGCTTTCACTTCAAGAAAAAGAACAAACAACTGGACGACTTAAATAGACGAACCGCAATTTTGGAATATAGCACTCCGTAAATCAAATCGGCACAAACTAGTTCCCGATATAACTATATTCATTCACTAATTAATCATTTCACTTCATAGAGCGTAATAGATCTAAGTCATCAAAAATGAAAAATGTTAATTTTTTCTAATCTTTAACATCTTGACTCTGACCAATGACTTGTGTCTTATAAAATAGTGTCACAAGTATTGTTCCAAGTGATTGTCGCATTTTTTTGGATTTCCAAACTTCCACTGTGATTCTGTGAATTCGCAACATGTTATAGCTAGTCAGCTAGAAGTTAGGTTAGTCAATCCATTAATTAAGATTTTAATGAATGTCCATGCAAGCTTCTTTCTTTCTTCTCTGTGACTAAATAACTTTTTGAATAGAAGTTAAGTTAGTCAATCCATTAATTAAGATTTTAATTTGTAATAGCCTTTCTCTTCTTCTTCTACATTTGGACCCTGTTGCTTCTAGAGAAGAAGTCTCTTCCAACATTGCCAAAAGTTAGTGCGATCATCTTAATATACTAGATCAGCTTCTAATTTAGTAAAACTAAGCTCACATTTTTGGGTGAACAAGAAAGAAAACATCATATGAAAATGACACGTGTGTGATAGTCAACATATCATTCAATTTTTTTTGGATGAAATGAATTGAAATCGTAAGTATGGGAAATAATTTTATTAATCTCTGCTTCTCATGAGTGAGATGCCATCCGATTATATACAGTTGTACGTAACAAAGCTATTCCGCTACAAGCTTGCGTATAGCTAAAGAATAGGAGATAAACAACCCACTAAAATTTATCTACAACCGACTAATACGTATACTCCTTTCTAATAAACAACTACGTACTATACGTATGAAACAAATGTAACAGAAAATTATTTTGTACAATAAAATATAATGCCAACACCCCCCCTCAAGATGGAGCATGGGGGTCAATCATGCCCATCTTGGCTAGAAGATAAGAAAATTGTTGAGCTCCAAGTGCCTTAGTCAACAAGTCCGCTGGTTGTTCAGTTGTGGATATATATGAAGTAGTTATGGTCCCTGTTTGAATATGATCCCGGATAAAATGACAATCAAGTTCAATGTGTTTAGTACGCTCATGATATACTGGATTTGAAGCAATATGTAGAGCGGCCTGATTGTCACAATGGAGACGGACGGGAGAGGAATGAGTAACACCTAGCGAACAAAGCAGATTTCTAAGCCAAATTAATTCACATGTCAATGCGGCCATGGACCTGTATTCAGCCTCCGCTGAAGAACGAGAAACGGTGGATTGTTTCTTGGTACGCCAAGAAATAGGAGAATTTCCAAGAGACACAAAATAACCAGTGACAGATCGTCGGGTCATTGGACAACTAGCCCAATCAGCATCACAATAACCGGTCAATGAAAGAGGAGAATCAGACCGCAATAGAATTCCTTGACCAGGACTTCCTTTAAGATACCGTAGTACACGTATTACGGCATCCCAATGAACCACCCGTGGGCTTTGCATAAATTGAGAAAGTATATGAACTGAATAGCTAATATCAGGACGTGTCAAGGTAAGATAAATTAGCTTACCAACAATTCGCCTATATCTAGCCGGATCAGAAAAAAGAGAGCCCAAATCAGATTGTAATCGGTGATTCTGCACCATAGGAAAAGAGACAGGTTTAGCCCCGCTTAAACCTGTTTCAGCCAAAATATCCAGCACATATTTTCGTTGACATAGAAAAATTCCAGTGGAATTTCGCGCCACCTCAATACCTAGAAAATATTTCATAACACCCAAATCCTTCACCGGAAAAGACTTGGCAAGGTAAGTTTTAAATGCCTGAATCATGTCCCGGTCATTACCGGTAATAAGCAGATCATCCACATAAATTAAGACACATAAAATACGACTATCCTGTCTCAAAGTAAATAATGAATAATCTGCATGGGATTGAGAGAACCCATATGCACGCAAGGAGGTAGTGAGTTTGGAAAACCAGCATCGGGGAGCCTGACGTAGTCCATAGAGAGACCGAAGTAAACGACATACCTTACCAGGTGAGGAGGCTGAATAACCGGGAGGTAGATGCATATACACCTCCTCACGCAGATCCCCATGCAAAAACGCATTATCCACGTCCATTTGGTGCAATTCCCAATGACACGAAGCTGCAACTGCTAATATGGTACGGACAGTTACCATTTTAGCCACCGGAGCAAAAGTCTCACTATAATCTATTCCTTCCACTTGTCTATTACCGCAAATAACCAGCCTCGCCTTGTAACGTTCCACCGAGCCATCACTTTTGTACTTGATCTTAAATACCCATTTACAAAAAATAGCCTTTTTGCCATAGGGTAAATCCTGGATTTGCCACGTACCGGTCTTCTCCAATGCGTCAATTTCACGTTGCATGGCTTCCCTCCATTGTGGATGACGTACCGCTTCGCTAAAGCTAGATGGTTCTTTAGTCTCAGAAATAGCTGCAAGAAAAGCACGATGCGGAACCGAAAAATGATTATATCTTACATAATGAGATATGGGATACGGGTTACCTGAGTCAACCGACGTGTGTGAGTCAACAACGGGGGGAGAGTTTATTGTCACGGTGTTGAGCTGGACGTCGTAGTCTTGATGCCATACTGGTGCCTTGCGTGTTCTGTCCCCACGTCTAGAAAGTTGTACCACAGTTGATCCCGATTCATTTGTGCCAAAAGAATTTTCTAGCTCGGTTGACGTGGGAGTAATGCGTACCTGATTGTCCTCCAGGGTGTGCATGTCGCTGGTAGCAGCCCCCTGCGTGTATTGACCACCACGTATATCATCCGTACAGAGTGCATGTGGGATGGTTGACTGCCGCGTGGAACCAAGCTTCCTGGAATCATGTGTGTCATCACATGCATAATTACGTGCATGTGTCTCCAAGTCTAGCCCTTTATTCCCAGTATGTATTGCCGACCCATTTGTCATCATGTTATCATCATTAGTCATGTGGGTCATTAATTTAAATGGAAATATGGTTTCAATGAATTTTACATCACGGGAAATAAAGTGGCGTTGATTTTCCATATCAAACACTTTCCAACCCTTTTGGGTATAAGCATACCCTAAAAATACACATCGTACACCCCGTGGTGCAAACTTGTCACCCATCCGGTCTTTGGTGTGTGCATAGCATAAACAGCCAAAAACTCGAAGTTGTGAATATAAAGGCGGTTTATTATACAGAAGCTCATACGGACTTTTATTCTCTATCACGGGTGAGGGCAATCTATTAATTAAATACCCTGTGGTCAATACACATTCACCCCAGAATGTAATAGGCAAGTTGGCATGGAAACGGAGAGTACGTGCTACTTCCAGTATATGCCGATGTTTCCGCTCTACCCGACCATTTTGTTGCGGAGTATAGACACCTGAAGTTTGAAAAATGATTCCTTGAGTCAAAAAATATGCTTGCAGACTTACGAATTCTTTGCCATTATCACTTCTTATTACTTTCACATTTTTATTAAATTGACGGCTAGTCATGGCAAAAAAATGTTTAAGAATATTTTTTACTTCACCCTTATCACACATCAAATGCACCCACACAGCTCTAGAAAAATCATCAACAATCGTCAAGAAATAACGTGCACCACATGAAGCAGGTACTCGATATGGACCCCAAATGTCACAATGTATTAATTCAAATGGTGCTATAGCACGTGCACAACTAATAGCAAAAACATCACGAGTTTGTTTTCCCCGTAAACAGGCATCACAAGTTTTATTCTGAACAGAAGAGAGTTCTGTTTTATTCAAACAATTAATCAAACGCAAAACTCTGACTGATGGATGTCCCAAACGAGAGTGCCACAAGTCACCTGGGTCTGAAGTTGCTACTGCATGAACACGAGCATGATCCAGACTCCGAAAATAATAAACTCCCCCACGTCGTTTACCCACTCCAATCGGCATCCTCGAAAGTAGGTCCTGTATCACACAGAAATCATTAGTAAAAAATATATCACACTTTCGGTTATCAATTAATTGTGCCAAGGAAATTAAATTGCATTGCAATCCGGGAACTAGCAGAACATGTTTTAATTCCAACTCTGCACTCATCCATACGTCCCCTACATGTGTTGCATGAGCTAGTTCACCATTCGGCAATGCTACTGTAACAGGTGCTATGGGTGTTGTATGCTTT